AATGCTGGCTGGGGAATTCTGGGAGTTGAAGTCCACTCATCTTAAAGTGGCCAAGTTTGGACAACACTGCTTTACATAGAGGTGCTGAACAGGCAGTATCATCATAGGAATGATGTACAATGTCATAGGTCCTTCCCAGCAGGCTAATGGGAACAACTCAAAGAGCGTTCCCCCTTTCTTAAATGCAAAGTACATCCAAGTTTTCTACTTGCACAGAAAAAGCTGCAAATCATCAACTTCTATTTATTTAGGATTGTTGTATATTGTAATTTTAATCGATTTTAACCACTTTGTGAACTGCCCAGAGTTGTTTTAATGAGATGGGAGGTGACAAATTTGATAAATAAATAAATAAATAAATACATACATACATACATACATACATACATACATAAACTAGCATAAACTGTCATAACCGTATTCCTATTCTCATGGGATTAGGAATGGTGGATGTAACAAAAGATAAAAGGGAGAGGTAGTAGTGCGGGGATTAAGTGTCTCAGCTGGGATCTAAATTTACCAAATGTCCTTTGGAAAAGCCTTGATTCCCAGCCTTAGCTTTCTTAATTTAAGTTATAATAATAATGGCCTACCTTGCAGGGTTATTGTACAAATATTAGGAATGCTTGAAAGGGGCTGAATACATGATAAAGGTTAAATCCAAATCTTTGCTCACAAGCCTGCTGTCTTATGTGCAAAAGGATATAATGTGTAAAGGTTGCTGAAGCATCCAATGCTGGAGATTGGGTGGGCTAGAAAAAAAATACAGTTTAGTTCCCCAATACATGCACAACACCTGTTCAAGCAATGTGACTGGTATTATCATGTAACCTAATGTAACCCTAATTAATGCTGTTATTATTGCAAATAATAGGGAAGAAGGAGGAAACTGGATGCAGGGCCAAGAGAAAGAATGGGGCCTAGACATAAATAAATATTTTGCTCAGCCATTGAGCATATATATATTCAACATTTTGCCCAGTTTTGGTCCAATTCTTTGTGTGCAACTATGACAGCTTTGAACATGTCTTCTGTTTTTTGCGTGACTGAAGTCTGGACACTTTCAGAAGTGAAGTTTTGACCCAAACCCTGTATGTATTTCCAAATCACATATGCACAACTTTGACCATAGCTTTCAGCTCAAGTGCAATGCAGGATTGAAAGATCTATGTCAAACCTCAAGTATTCAGAAAGCTATCTTTGCTAGAAAGGAGAGGAAGTACTGAAGGAATAAAGAGAAGAACTAGAACATAGGCAAAGAGGATGCTGTCAGTAATTCCAGCCATAACAGATGACCACCCCTAGCTGACTGGGGCAAGATAGAAGAGCTGCAGCTACAGCTGAGATCCTGCCATGCTATCACTGCTGCCTGCCAGTTCTGCTTGGTGACAGCAGAAGACTCCTAAAATCCTCCTTCTGCACACGTGCTGGCTTGGTGCACTTCATGTTGCTGCTGCTGCCATGGAAACCATATCCATCTTCCATACAGGGAGCCAGAATACTCTCTGCTTTGAATTAACCAATATACTCAATCTAGGCAATGTGTTATTCATTTTTATGACAACACAAACTCCCCAGAATTGAACAAAGTTTATTAATTTTGTAACTTAGGGATTCTTAAGTTACAAAATTTAGTTAGGGAAGTTAGGGATACTTAAGAAACCCTAAGTCCTGGGAGAAAAAAACAAGATCCAACTCTACGTGGAAAAACAAGGCCCAGGCTCCCAAAGTATATGATGGACAATTACCAACTTTAGCTGGTGCTTGCTAACTCAGCTGTGGCACTACCTTGCAGAAATGATGGTCTTTTTTCTAACAGCAAAAATATTGGGCTAACCAGAACTTGCTAGGAATGTGGGCATGACAAGTAGTTTACCTCAAAGCCATGAGATAACTGACTTCAAAGAGCTGCCCAAATGAGAAGGCCACAACTCACTCAAAGAACCCATGTTTAATCCCTGGTATCTTCACCCCAAATAATAGGTATCAGATGCCCAGAAAGTACTTAGTTGATAGCTCCCTATATTCTAACTTTACACTTCTGTAGAAATAAAAAAATAACAGCAAAAACCAAAATGGCCATTTTGCACCATTTCTTCAGTTCAGCAAGTGTTTGTCTGAATTATATCATTTGAAAGATAAGTACTTCTGGAGACCTAATCAAAAGTAGCACTTCTGGAACTTTAGTTGCCTAAGGAAACTAAGTAAGGGTGCCAAAAAGCTTTGGTCTTGAAAAGGCAAATGGGAAGGAATAGGTCGGCCACCAGTTTATAGCTGTTTAAATAAATTTAATGTTCCTTTTCCTTATCAGACCGATTCCATTGAGGGGCCTAATGAATCTTCTTTGAAAAACACAGACAATTCCAGTTGAGACTTGAACTCTCTTCTTTAGTTTACTGTGATATTTTTGTTTTCTATTCCCTTTATTTCACTTCACATAGTAATTCATTAGTTTTTAATTAATTCTCTGCTACATGTACTACCAACAGCATTTAACCAAAAGGAAAATGAGTCCCCCTCTCCAAATAATTATCTATAAAGCAGGAGGATCATCTTACATTCGCTGAACAGAGGCAGATACTTTTGAGAAGGAAATTCACTGAGAGTGAGAACTCTAGAAAAACATGTTGAATTCATGGATGGATTGTCTTCTCTGTCAATGGGCTCCAAATGTTTATAATTCTTCCTCATTTTTGAAAGATCATCATACATTAAGGGCCATCTTTCTTTGATAAATACAGCACATTACACAGCATTTCAACTGAAATGCTCTATAGAAAACTTTCCCCCCCCATTTTCTTTAAGCTTTGAATTTCTTTTTTAAACTGCCCTAAATAGCCTGTCTCTGTTGCCAGGTTATCCTTGGATTTTTTGTTTACATCAAGCTTAGATTCTTTGTTCTTATCCTTTTTCCCTTACATGATCACAGGGCTATTCAAGGAAGAAGTAGGTACAAAGGCTTTACTTTTCAAAGAGCCCCATGCTGTAGTAAGCATGTTGGGCATTAAACATTAAGAAAAAAGGAAAAAGAAGAAAAGAGAGACCTCTGGGCCTTCTCATAAAATTTGGAAAGTATAAATCCATCTACCCTTGGTCTGAGGTGATGAATTTTCATACAGATTTTTATTAAAAACGGAAATGACCTGAATAGAATTGTATCCTTCAAAGTAGACAATGACACTAAATTTACCTCTCCTGGTTCATTAATACCCAGCCAAGACTTTGGATAGAAGTTCAGAAGGGCCATAAAATGTAATGGTTTAATGGATATAGCACATGTTATCATTTAAGAGAGAGATGAATAGAAACATAGAACACCATAAAAACAAAACACAATAAAATATGCCCCAAATCAGGTGTGTAAAAACCTTTTATAGCATATATACAGCATTTGTATGTGTCTACACTGATATGTACAAGCAAGGCATGTAAACCAGCCATATCAAGGCCTGCTCATCACAGCTGTACTTCAATTGAAGAAGGATGAAAAGCTCCTCTAATTTCCCCTGGGAACTCCTGGAGGTGTATAGGCTTCTTGCTATCAAAGTTGGCTAGTCTCCAATCAGCTGTTTCATCAAACTGCGTACGGCAAATGAGTCCCAACAATTGTCACCCCTGCTAATGATGCCCGCCCTTCCCTCCCACTTTCTTTCACTGGCCCTTAATTAGATTACCACAGTACTTTGTCCCAAGCTAATCATCTGGAAGGCAATCTGCAGCAGAGGAACAACTCTCTCCCCAGCTGTTTTAAAACACTAGCCACAGGACAGGAGAAATTTTGAACAGCTCATGTATATCTCTTGGTGAACCAATCCCAAATGTTCAAAAGTCAGATCCTCTCCTTTAAAACCAGTTTCCAGAAATTGGAAAACATTGGACTATAACAAGCTCTCAAGTATGGATTATACCAAATCATTTCCAGGAACAGAAATAAGGAATGATTAATGATGGAATAAGGCTAAGAAATCTGACTTTGTGCATACTTTAAGGCATTGGTTCACAAAATGAAAGCTACATGGTTTCAGAGAGAATGGTCTGAACCAGAATTCAGCCTTTTTCTGCTCTTACTTTCACTCAACTAAAAAGTCTACTCCACTGTAAAATGTTCATTTAACAACTAAACACTTTAACACCATCAGCACCACCAAGGAGGTGGAATTGGAGGAGGAAGTAGGAAAAACCATGTTACTCTGTTGCTGGATAAACCAGCCTTTTTCATGTGACATGTCTGTTACAGTAAATGGAACTTAGATGTCTCAAGATTCCTCCTTGCAATTAATTTTAAATCACCTTATGGCAGATCCCAGCATGCACCTCAACCTTGTGAAAGATTTAATATAAAGGGTAAGAAGTTCCACCATAGAAATGGAGACTTAAAATCTTCTTTAATAAAGCATCCAGACCTGAAACAGAATGTAGTTCTCCTATAGAAGCCCTCAGGTCCTAAGCTCTTTAGAATTCTAGAGGTCTTAGTTATTACAGAGGCCAAGGGAACATCCCTTTCCTCAGTGCTGGGAAAACTAAGAATCCATGCATATATATTTTATGTGAAAAATAAAGTTTCTACTTTTTTAATTAAGCCACGAGAAGATACCTCTGCTAACCTGCTCCTGACTCTGCTTTGTAGTATTCAGAGATAATCTAACAAAGGCATTTAATTTTGTTCTGTTTCATATTTCAACATCTACCAAAAGAAAATTCATGATCAAATACTTTAGTTTTGTTCACTCCTGTTTCTCATGGGTTTGAGAACACCCAAGAACACATACTTGGGATGCTTAGAAGAATGGGATATATAGGAAAGGGAAAACTAACTCATTCAAAAAATGAGATTTGTCTGACCCAAATTCCAGTGCAAGACAGCTTGCCTATTTCCAGTTAAATATTGGGCAAGAGGTTCAGGGAACCTTAAATCCATAGCTTTTTAGATTTGAAATAGTAAACTACCCTCAGTGTCACTGTGTCTCCAACTGCCACAGAAAGATTGAGGTAACAATATATAGGCCTCTGTTTCTTGATCTGCTGAGCGCTTTGATTATTTAGTGACAAAAACACCTGCTGTATCTTAATATTCCTCCCTGCGTGAATCAGTGCTAGATCACTGAAAGATCTGAAGAAGATCCACATTTTTTAATTCTACTGAAGTTCCAGCATGATGGTATTACTGCTGGAAAATTTCCATCATGCCAGTAGTTGGCTTCGTTTCAGCTCAGTGTTTGCCCATTCATATTCTGTTCTTGCATTTGAATGACTTTCCTCATCAGTCTCCTCTAGCAGCAGAGAAAAGCAATAAGCATTCAGCGCATCTTCATTATTATTTTGGAGCTGTTAGTATTTTGATCTTAGCAAGGAAACTCTGCAAGCCCCACACTTCACCTCCAGTCTGATGATATAGTACAGGCTGTATCGCAGAGAAATAAGAGGCTATGCAAAGAAAAAAGGAATATCTATATATCTATATCAGGGGGATATGAAAGTAGTGCAAAGGCTGTCACTTCCAAAAAGGAAAGTTTGAAAGCTTCCCAGAGACCTATTTAAATATTACTTTCAACCACTGTGACTATGTGCAAAATAATCCCTTTCTGCATGGAAAGGACAAAGGAGTTTATATGCGTTAAAAGAACATAAACCCACTACATCATGAGTGGACAGTCTACAGCTCAGGAGGACTCTCATTGCAAAAAACCAACAACAACAACAAAAAATCATTTTATCTCCACCCTCCACCTCCGAGCAGGGCTGTGAGATAGGTTGGGCTGAAAGAAAGTGACTGCCCCCAAAGTCACCTAATGAGTTTCCATGGCTGAGGATAAATTTGAACCTAGGTTTTCCTTGTCCTGGCCACTAGATTACACTGGTTCCTGGTCCTGGCCACTACATCACACTGGCTTACAATTGCAGGCATTTTACTGTACATGAAAATAATGTATTAATGGGAGACACAATAATTCTGCCATGAGAAGAATCAGAAGATTAGTTCTGTGTCCAGAAGGAGAACTAGAACTAATGAATACACTTTCTAAAAAGATGTTGATTAAACATTAGGAGAAGCTTCCTAAAGGTAACAGCTGTTTTACAGTAGAAAAGGCTGCCTCGAGAGGTGACAGGTTTCCTTCACGGGATGTAATGAAGTAGAGGGAGGATGGTCATTTCCAAGAGATACTGCAGCTGCCTCCAATACTGAAGATCCTGTATGAATAGAAGGTCAGAACAGATACCTTCTAAGGGCTCCCACTTACTCAAATGGCCTGTGCTTTTCTATTGACAGGATGCAAAACCAGAGAAAACACTTTTGAGTGTAAGGGAAACACCTCTTCAACAAAGTGCCAAGAGAGGTCCAGCTTGATGATCAACTGATGGAGCAAAGGAAGACACAGCCATAAGAGAGCTGCCAGCTTCATTCAAAGCAGAATCAAAACAATCGGAAGGGAGTTGTCAGGCTCCTAGCTTGACAGAAAGTAGCTTAGCTTCAAAGTGACCGGCCTTTGTGTAAAACAGAGAGAGAACAGAAGACAGTAAAGGAAAAGTAGAAAGATGCAGAACAGAAGTCAGTAAGGAAAGAAAAAGGCTAATGGAGAAGCAAGTTTAGTTGCCACTTTAAGCAGCTTTGAGAGACAGTGTGGGTTTGCACAGGCTAAAATGAGGATGGGTATTTATGGTTCAATGTTGGTAGGAGTTTAGGTACAGTCTTAGCACATCATGTGAGCCAGGTCATCATGTTAAGCTGTGGTGGGGTTTATTTGACTGGGACCACAATGTTATGGGAACATACCAAACTGTGCTTTGTGAACTTGGGTTGGGTCAGGAAAGCTGGGTCTAAGGTTAACCATTTACAGCCAGTAAAGTCAACTGACATAACTCAATTTTCAGAAAATTAAATAATAAGAATATCTGCAAGAA